TTGTTGCCCATTCTTCAAGGCAAAACTGCTCCAGCTCCTTCAAGTTGGATGGGTTCCGCTGGTGTACAGCAATCTTTGAGTCATACCACAGATTCTCAATTGGATTGAGGTCTAGGCCATTCCAAGACATTTAAATGTTTCCCCTTAAACCACTCAAGTGTTGCTTTAGCACTATGCTTGGGTCATTGTCCTGGTGGAAGGTGAACCTCCGTCCTAGTCTCAAATCTCTGGAAGACTGAAACAGGTTTCCCTCAAGAATTTCCCTGTATTTAGCTCCATCCATCATTCCTTCAATTCTGACCAGTTTCCCAGTCCCTGCCGATGAAAAACATCCCCACAGCATGATGCTGCCACCACCATGCTTCACTGTGGGGATGATGTTCTCAGGGTGATGAGAGGTGTTAGGTTTGCGCCAGATATAGCGTTTTCCTTGATGGCCAAAAAGCTCAAATTTAGTCTCATCTGACCAGAGTACTTTCTACCATATGTTTGGGGAGTCTCCCACATGGCTTTTGGCAAACACCAAACGTGTTTGCTTATTTTTTTCTTTAAGCAATGGCTTTTTTCTGGCCACTCTTCCGTAAAGCCCAGCTCTGTGGAGTGTATGGCTTAAAGTGGTCCTATGGACATATACTCCAATCTCTGCTGTGGAGCTTTGCAGCTCCTTCAGGGTTATCTTTGGTCTCTTTGTTGCCTGTCTGATTAATGCCCTCCTTGCCTGGTCCGTGAGTTTTGGTGGGCAGTGCCCGTTGCTTAGTGGTTTTGCAGACTCTGGGGCCTTTCAGAACAGGTGTATATATACTGCGATCATGTGACAGATCATGTGACACTTAGATTGCACATGATGTGACTTCTGAAAGTAATTGGTTGCACCAGATCTTATTTAGGGGCTTCATAGCAAAGGGGGTGAATAAATACAGTTGATGTCGGAAGGTTACATACAACTTAGCCAAATATTTTTTTAAATCCGTTTTTCACAATTCCTGACATTTAATCATAGTAAAAATATCCGGTTTTAGGTCAGTTAGGATCACCACTTTATTTTAATAATGTGATATGTCAGAATAAGAGTAGAGAGAATGATTTATTTCAGCTTTTATTTCTTTCATCACACATTTTCTATAGGATTGAGGTCAGGGCTTTGTGATGGCCATTCCAATACCTTGACTTTGTTTTCCTTAAACCATTTTGCCACAACTTTGGAAGTATGCTTGGGGTCATTGTCCATTTGGAAGACCCATTTGTGACCAAGCTTTAACTTCCTGACTGATGTCTTGAGATATTGCTTCAATATATCCACACAATGTTCCTTTCTCATGATGCCATCTAGTTTGTGAAGTGCACCGCGTCTCCTGCCACCCCCGTGCTTCACGGTTGGGATGGTGTTCTTCGGCTTGCAAGCAACCCCCTTTTTCCTCCAAACAGAATGATGGTCATTATGGCCAAACAGTTCTATTTTTGTTTCATCAGACCAGAGGAAATTTCTCCAAAAAGTACGATCTTTGTCCCCATGTGCAGTTGCAAACCGTAGTCTGCCTTTTTTATGGTGGTTTTGGAGCAGTGGCTTCTTCCTTGCTGAGCGGCCTTTCAGGTTATGTCAATATAGGACTTGTTTTACTGTGGATATAGATACTTTTGTACCTGTTTCCTCCAGCATCTTCACAAGGTCCTTTGCTGTTGTTCTGGGATTGATTTGCACTTTTCTCACCAAAGTACGTTCATCTCTCGGAGACAGAACGCGTCTCCTTCCTGAGCGGTATGACGGCTGCGTGGTCCCATGGTGTTTATACTTGCATTCTATTGTTTGTACAGATGAACGTGGTACCTTCAGGCGTTTGGAAATTGCTCCCAAGAATGAACCAGACTTGTGGAGGTCTACAATTTCTTTTCTGAGGTCTTGGCTGATTTCTTTTGATTTTCCCATGATGTCAAGCAAAGAGGCACTGAGTTTGAAGGTAGGCCTTGAAATACATCCACAGGTACACCTCCAATTGACTCAAATGATGTCAATTAGCCTATCAGAAGCTTTCCAAGCTGTTTAAAGGTACAGTCAACTTAGTGTATGTAAACTTCTGACCCACTGGAATTGTGATACATTGAATTATAAGTGAAATAATCTGTCTGTAAACAATTGTTTGAAAAATTACTTGTGTCTTGCACAAAAGTCTTGTTAACAAACTATAGTTTGTCAACAAGACATTTGTGGAGTGGTTGAAAAACGAGTTTTAATGACTCCAACCTAAGTGTATGTAGACTTCCGACTTCAACTGTATGCACGCACCAGTTTTCGGTTATTTATTTTTTAGAATGTTTTTTAAACAAGTTAGTTTTTTCATTTCACTTCATCAATTTGGACTATTTTGTGTATGTCCATTACATGAAATCGAAATAAAAATGCATATTAATTACAGGTTGTAATGCAACAAAATAGGAAAAATGCCAAGAGGGATGAATACATTTGCAAGGCACTGTACGTACGCACGTACGCAAGCGCACACACACACACACACGCACACGCACGCACACACACACAGTGCATTCGGAAAGTATTCAGACCACTTGACTTTTTCCACATTTTGTTACGTTACAGCCTTATTCTATAATGTATTAAATAAAATGTTTTCCTCATGAATCTACACACAATACCCCATAATGACAAAACGAAAACTGGTTTTTAGAAAATTTTGCAAATGTATTACAAATAAAATATATAAATACCTTATTTACATACGTATTCATAACCTTTGCTATGAGACTCGAAATTGAGGTCAGGTGCGTCCTGTTTCCATTGATCGTCCTTGAGATGTTTCTACAACTTGATTGGAGTCCACCTTTGGTATATTAAATTGATTGGACATGTTTTGGAAAGGCACACACCTGGCTATATAAGGTCCCACAGTTGACAGTGCATGTCAGAGCAAAAACCAAGCCAGGATTGTGTCGAGGCACAGATCTGGGGAAGGGTACGCATACATTTCTGCAGCATTGAAGGTTCCCAAGAACACAGTGGCCTCTATCATTCTTAAATGGAAGAAGTTTGGAACCACCGAGACTCTTCCTAGAGCTGGCCACCCGGCCAAACTGAGCAATTGGGGGAGAAGGGCCTTGGTAAGGGAGGTGACCAAGAACCCGATGGTCACTCTGACAGAGCTCCAGAGTTCCTCTGTGGAGATGGGAGAATCTTCCAGAAGGACAACCATCTCTGCAGCACTCCACCAGACTGAAGCCACTCCTCAGTAAAAGGCACATGACAGCCCGCTTGGAGTTTGCCAAAAGGCACCTAAAGGACTCTCAGACCATGAGAAAACAGATTATCTGGTCTGATGAAACCAAGATTGATCTCTTTGGCCTGAATGCCAAGCATCACGTCTAGAGGAAACCTGGCACCATCCCTATGGTGAAGCATGGTGGTGGCAGCATCATGCTGTGGGAACGTTTTTCAGCGGCAGGGACTGGGAGACTAGTCAGGATCGAGGGAAAGATGAACGGCTCAAAGTACAGAGAGATCCTTGATGAAAACCTGCTCCAGTGCACTGAGGACCTCAGACCTGGGCAAAGGTTCACCTTCCAACAGGACAACGACCCTAAGCACACAGCCAAGACAACACAGGAGTGACTTCAGGACAAGTCTCTGAATGTCCTTGAGTGGCCCAACCAGAGCCCGGACTTCAACCCGACCAAACATCTCTGGAGAGACCTGAAAATAGCTGTGCGGCGACGACCCCATCCAACCTGACAGAGCTTGAGAGGATCTGCAGAGAAGAATGGGAGAAACTCCCCAAATACAGGTGTGCCAAGCTTGTAGCGTCATAACCAAGAAGTCTCAAGGCTGTAATCGCTGCCAAAGGTGCTTCAACAAAGTACTGAGTAAAGGCTCTGAATACTTATGTAAATGTTTTAAATTAGCAAATAATTCTAAAAATCTGTTTTTGCTTCGTCATTATGGGGTATTGTGTGTAGATTGAAGAGGAAAAAAACAATTACATTAATTTTAGAGTAAGGCTGTAACGTAACAAAATGTGAAAAAAGTCAAGTGGTCTGAATAATTTCCGAATGTACTGTATGTCTGTATCTATGTGGAAAGATGTATTTAGTCACTTGTATGTTTATTTGCATATACATGATGTGCACTGTGTTTGTCTGCATGCAAACATTTGTATGCCTCTGTCCTTTACTTTCATCTGCAATTATTACCCTGTTGCCATGTCCTCGGTGGTTAAAATAAATAACAAAGGAGGGAAAACAGCAGGAAGAAAGAGAGGAAGGACAAGGTTTGTGTCCCAAATGGTACCTTATTGCCTATACAGTATAGTGCACTACTTTTGACCAGATATCAACGTGCCCTGGTCAAAAGTAGTGCTCTATATAGGGAATATGTTGCCATTCAGGACGCTGGGAAGATTTTGATGAGTTCCCAGTGATAAATATGTTGAGGAGATTTGGTGGCTGAATTAAAATGTCAGAGCAAGCTAAGCTGTTGTTCATGCAGACAGAAACAGGCCACATCAGGAGAGCGAGCAAATAGCGGAGCGGAGAGGAGATTGAATAGGAAAGGAGAGGAGATGATTGAAGAGTATTGAAGAAGAGAGGAGACCCAGTAAGAAGTGGAAATATCATGTCATGTTTCTACAGCATGTTAGAGAAATCTGATCTCCTCAGAGTTAGTAAATGGCAGGCAGTAAGAACAGACATGGGTCACACGTCACACACAACCTTTCTATGAAATTATAATTATTTCTGTAAATGGCATAGGAAATTGGGACAACACAAATATCTGAAATCAAACATCTAAAAAGTAATTTCTGAAAAATATGTAAATGGTACAGGATATCGTTGTGTCACAATTAGATTATTTGTCTTCAGATAATTTTCAATCAGTCACTAGCACAGAGTGCCATTAAACTATTAAAGTTTCTTTGTTTAGCCCAAGAGGGGTCCAGTTATTGAAATGCTAATATTCATTACAAATCATTTGTATTGTGATTGAGTGCTACTGTGAAATGACTTCGTCCCCTTTGCTTCTCATTGCTCCACAGCTCCACTCAGACGGGGACCGGGGTGACGGTAGCATACGGTACGTCCTGACCGGGGACGGAGCCGGTAGTCTGTTCATCATCGATGAGAACTCTGGGGATATCCATGCCACTAAGAGATTGGACCGGGAGGAGAAGGCCTACTACACGCTCCGGGCCAAGGCCGTCAACAGAATCACTAACACCTCTCTAGAGGGAGAGTCAGAGTTTATCATCAAGATCCATGACATCAACGACAATGAGCCCAAGTTTACCAAGGACCCCTACTTCACAGAGGTACCTGAGATGTCCCCATTGGGTACGTATGAGAGAAGTAGGCTACAGAGAACAGCCCTACATCTATCTCACTCACTTCTTACCAAAGACACCTACCAGGGCAGAAGTGGTTGAAATGTTTCTAGTTGTCAAGTCATAATCATCTCAACCAGTTTTGCCCTGTGTGTATCTGTAACTCATAGCCTGATCGACCGTTGTTAAACAGTTCCACAGTTTAAAAACAGGGATTTGAGAGGGGGATTTGATGCAGTCAGTGGTAATAATATATTCCATACTTGTAGCTGCAATGTACAGCAGGATTAGAATTGTTACAAACAAACGCCTATCCTGTTGGATCAATGAGAGCTTTATCAATCATAATAATGAGAGGAAAGATTTTCTACATCCCAAATAGCACCCTATTCCCTATGTAGTGGACTACATTTGACCAGGGCCCATAGAGAATAGGTTGCCATTTGGGCAGTAATTAAATTAGATTGATTACAGGCCATTAACTGTTTTATTACAGCAAAACAAACAATGTGAAGCGGCCCAATGACGCTGATTATATTATATACTTCAGCTAATCTTTTGAATACACTGTTCAGTTTTCAATTACAACACATTAAACAATGGACGAAGCTGTCTGTTTTTGCCTAGTGTATGTCAATAATGTAGTGGAAATTCAAGACGATGAATCATGCAGTTCAGATATGAGGTATTCTTGGGTATGTGAAGTATACACTTAACACTAAAGAGTGAAATTGGTCACATAACACCGACAGGTGACAAACTGTCAGCCTGTTTACAACCTCTAAGTAAGAAAAGCAGTACTGCTGCGTACGGTGCTTGTGAGATTTGTATAGAGAATAGGAAAAATATATGTATAGAGGGCATAGAATAAATAGTATGCGTCCCAATTGGCAACCTATTCCGTATATAGTGCACTATTATATTTTTTATTTTGGGGGGAATATGGTGCCATTTGTGACGCCACAAACGACTTCAGTTCAGTCCAGTTCACTTTATTGGCCTTATTCAGGAAGTTGTCTTGAATCTTGTGTTATTGAGTGTTCCCCAACGCCCTCTGACTCCATTCTATGTGTATAACTTTGCTCACCAAGTTACCCTCTTTTTTCTTCTCCTCCTTCCTTCCCTAGGCACGGTGGTGATGCAGGTGACCGCTACAGACGCTGACGATGCTACGTATGGTAACAGTGCCAGGGTGGTCTACAGCATCCTGCAAGGACAGCCATACTTCTCTGTGGAGCTCAACACAGGTTAGTGTCAACAGACCCTGTTTTTCTGCTTTTCTGTAGACAGAAAGGAGAGGTAGGGTCAGTTCCAATGCAAATACAGAGTTCTATCATATTTACCTTCTACAGTCTATCTGTGGCTCAAGGGAGCAATGTTCCCAGAGCGTGAACAAGGAACAGCACACAAGGTGCCATTAACCTGCCTCACTGAAGATTCAACTAGCACCTGAAATGAACCCAAATTCATACTGCGAGTGAACCAGGATATGAACAGATCACTACTCCGTCACTACCATGGCTGGAGACTGTGTGTGTGTGCGTTCACCACGGCTATTAACTCTCATGTCAGACTGAAGAGACATGACAGAAAAGAAGGGCAGAATCTCCGCCAACCGCCGCTTTTCAATCCCACTGCTCAGTCATCACTGCTATATTTAATCATTTGTAATGCGTGCTTTGGAACGGATCTCGAATGTGTTCTTTGCTTAAACAAAAGGGAAATGGCAACTAAAAAATATATTTGCAGATTAGAGCAGGATTAACAGTAATATGGTTTATGCCAGATGTGCCATGTAAACTGACATCCCCCCTACACAAAGGCAGGCTTGGACATCATAAGCATGATTCTCTCTCTCGCTCACCTCTATGTTTCGCTCCTCCCCTGCTGCCACATCCTATGTGATGAAAGAGCAAGATGAGAGTTCTATACCCCTGCGTTCACCGTGCGTTTCACCAACACTGCTCAGAACTAGGTTTGAATGATGTGCACCATCAGCCCTCACATCCCCTATTGTTTGATATTCAATTAATTTCCTCTTTAGAAAAATAGTTTGTAACCTGTGAACTCTGTCAATGCAATATATTTGGTGTTTTTTTCCTCTTCTGCTGTAATCTACTGTAACATAGTCTCTGTAGTTGTGATGCTTCAAATGTAGAACATGTAATGGATGACAAAAGCCACGGCAGCTCAATGTCTGACAGACAGACAGGAGGAGAGGAGAAGGAAGCAGAGAGCTGCTTTTAATACAGTCAATTAGAGTATCACTGAACCTCTGTCCTGACTTCAAAACTAGAGATCAAACATGTTAACCTATATAGAATGCAACTGTACTGTATACCAGAGAAAGACAGAGCATCTCCATTCACCTTAATGTCTTTGTCTGAGCTCTAAATAACTGTGCAAAAGTTATGTTTTGTGCATCATACACTTGGAAAAATGTAAAGCAATGATACAACTTTACATACAAACATACATACATGCATACAAACTTTACGTTTAGTCATTTAGCAGACGCTCTTATCCAGAATGACTTACAGTTAGTGCATTCATCATAAGGTAGCTAGGTAAGACAACCACATCACAGTCAAACAACTTAAGAAAAGACAAGTGCAAGTGTTAGTGCAATAAATATCTATATCGATCAGAAGTATCTAATCTTACATCTCTCTGGGCGTCTGTCCTGACTGTCTGTCCTTTTCTTTCAGGTGTGATCAAGACAGCCCTGCCTAACATGGACAGGGAGACCAAGGAGAACTATGTGGTTGTGATCCTGGCTAAAGACATGGCTGGACAGATGGGTGGGTTATCAGGGACCACCACAGTCAGCATTACCCTCTCTGATGTCAATGACAACCCACCACGCTTCCCCAAGAGTGAGTATAGTGCACACAAACAGACAGATGTGTGTACGCGCATGCACTCACTCACTCATTCACTCACTCACACACACACACACACACACACACACACACACACACACACACACACACATACACACACGCAGGGATGCGCACACACACACACGTGCACCCATTCTCACACACACACGCATCAGTCCCCTGAATATAAAACCCAGTTCACTATACAGGCTTGTGCCAACCAGGCAGCCTCCATCTGGTGCCAATTTCAAAATGAATGTGGATTATTGCAGCAAGTATTACTGTGCTGCTGTGGCATGTGTGTGTGTGTGTGCGCGCGTATGTGCGTGCGTGTGGCAGCGCCACTCTCTTGAAGGCTTGGCATAATTAAATGTAGAGCCATATGAGAGAGTGAAGGGTCCTGCACAGTGCATCAGATCAGCCTGCTAATCCCTATTAAATGAAAAGAGTACACTGTGGGTTTTATCTTCTTCACTCTCTCTCTGTCGCTCTGTCGCTCTCTCTCTCTCTCTCTCTCTCTCTCTCGCTCTCTCTCTCGGCTACTGTCCTTTGTTTCTAGTTTTTTACTCCTTCCTCGTCCTCTCTTTCAGAGTGTTTCTTTTGCCATTCATCTTTTTCTCCCACCCCCTTCTCTCCCACTTTCCCTCAATCTCCTCTCAAACACTGTCTCCTGTCCCTCTCTGGTGCATCTGGCAAATTGCAAAGGCAGCTGCATCAGATTGACAGATTACTGGTGTCATTTTGTTTCCCCTCAATAACACCAGTGTGTGTGCTTCTGTGTCTCTGTGTTTATCTTTGTGTGTTTGCGTGTGTGCGTGTGTGTGTGTGTGGGCGTGTTACACTTGGATATAATCAATGCATACAAGCCAAATAGCTCTTCACATCACAAAATGCACACAAACGTAGAGACCCTGCCTCCATTTATCACCCTCTCCAACAGGGAGACAAACACTGTCACTGCACCTCACCTCAATGGACAGAACAGGAAGGGAGGGATGGAGGGGGTAAAGACGGATAGAAAGGAAGAGAAGTTGAGGTGGGGAGGAATAAATGGAGGGAGGGATGAAGAGAGGGGGCAGGGAGAAAAAGAAAGACAGAGTGAGAGCAAGTGGATATTGTAATGAGACACCCAGTGTCAGGCAGCGATATAATTTGTTTATATTATACCTCTCAACCCAATACTAAATACTTGTTAGCCTGGGAAACTTCTCCATAGTGGGATGTGTGTGTGTGTATGTGTGTGTGTGTGTGTATGTGTGTGTGGTTTTACTGTCCTTGTGGAGACCAGAAATCCTCACAAGTATAGTAAAACAAGGAAAATTCTGACAAGTGGGGATATTTCGCCGGTCCCCACAAGGAAAAAGGCTATTTTAGGCTTAGTGGTTACAAATAGGGTTAGAAGTTATGGTTAGGGGTTAAGGTTAGGGTTAGGTTAAGTGTTAGGGAAAATAGGATATTGAATGGGAATTAATTGTTTGGTCCCCACAAGGATATTAAAACAAACATGTCTGAGTGTGTGTATGTGTGTGTGTGCTTTTGTTGGTGTGTGTGTACACTTGCATGTGTGCATGCAAGATGTGTGTGTGGGACCTGCCGACTCAGGCGTTGCCAGAACGATGTCAGCATGTTTTATAAGGGTGTCAGTGGTGTTTGTCTATGCAGCCTGTGTATATCACGTCCATCCCTCTGCAGACTAGACCAGCTATTTATTTAAGCATATGAGATACAGTGGGGTGCTCGAGCTGGCAGACAGGGACGCATCAATTTATCTGGCTCAAACCAGGAAATCATCTGGTGAAAATAACTAGCTACATTTGAAGTTGGAAGTTTACATACACTTAGGTTGGAGTCATTAAAACTCGGTTTTCAAATGGACAATGACCCCAAGTATACTTTCAAAGTTGTGGCAAAATCGCTTAAGGACAACAAAGTCAAGGTATTGGAGTGGCCATCACAAAGCCCTGACCTCAATCCTATAGAACATTTGTGGGCAGAACTGAAAAGGCGTGTGCGAGCAAGGAGGCCTACAAACCTGACTCAGTTACACCAGCTCTGTCAGGAGGAATGGGCCAAAATACACCCAACTTATTGTGGGAAGCTTGTGGAAGGCTACCCGACACGTTTGACCCAAGTTAAACAATTTTAAAGGCAATGCTACCAAATACTAATTGAGTGTATGTAAACTTCTGACCCACTGGGAATGTGATGAAAGAAATAAAAGCTGAAATAAATCATTCTCTCTACTATTATTCTGACATTTCACATTCTTAAAATAAAGTGGTGATCCTAACTGACCTAAGGCAGGGAATTTTTACTAGGATTACATGTCAGGAATTGTGAAAAACTGAGTTTAAATGTATTTGGCTAAGGTGTATGTAACCTTCCGACTTCAACTGTATGTATGGGCCAATGTATTCACGTTGAATAAATTATGCATGATTTATTGATGTTGGCTTTTAAGATGTACTTAAAAGTATGAATTTAGGAGTTGATCCAGGTGTTACAGATGAAAAAAACAACAATAACGAATGTGTGTGTGTCTTTCCTCCAGGTCTGTATGAGTTCAAAGCTCCCGAGTCGACAGAGCCGGGCTCGACAGTGGCCGTGCTGCGAGCTACGGACGCTGACATCGGCAGGAACGCTGAGATGAACTACCGAATCACCAGCAGCGATGGCCCCGCCATGTTCGACATCTCAACCAATAGGAGCACACAGGATGGTGTCATCACCCTCAGGAAGGTCAGTGATTGGCTGGATTCCAAATCTACCACTAGCATATGTCTCTAGTCCCTATTCCTTAGCCCCTAATCCCTAGGACACTCCTTCAGAATGGCTCGATTCCAAATCACTCCTAGTCCCTCGTTCATGGTTCAATCGACCCTACTCCCTAGGTGTTATCACACTCAGAAATGTCAGTATGGCTGGATTCCAAATTGAACCGTAACCTCTATAGACACTAGACCAAGGTTTCCCAAACTCGTTCCTCGGGACCCCAAGGGGTGCACGTTTTCGTTTTTGGCATAGCGCTACACAGCTGACAAAAATAATCAACTAATCCTCCAGCTTTGATAACTGAGTCAGCTGTGTAGTGTTTGGGCAAAAACCAAAACGTGCACTCCTTGGGGTCCCGAGGACCTAGTTTGGGAAACGCTGCGCTAGACCCTACTACCGTGTACACTCGTTCAATATGTCTGGATTCCCAATCCACCCCTAGCCGGTACTCCCAGGGCCCTAAAAGTATCTGATAGATTTAAGTGATATGGTAACTGCTTCACCTTGCCTTTCTAATGGTTGGTTTTTGCTACATTGCTATCTAGTCGTGTCAGATTGTACATTCACATGCTCAGATAGGATGTATTCTTAGTCACGGTTTCTGAGTGCAGATCAGATTGATGCTAGGTATTTATTTCACCAGAACCAGCCAGTGGTCCTCTGGGTGCTCTGAGCTATAGTATGTTTTGACATATTAAACAGAATCAGATTGTTGCTTTATCAAGCGCCCCCTTATCCCCTAGTGTGACTTTAAATCGATCACGTCACTTCCACCAGGTCATCATTGAGTGGAGGGAGATGTAATTACCTTCTGCTGATGCTAATGTTGTAATGATATTGGAGGGATCTAAGTGCGCTCTCTCTCTCTCTCTCTCTGTGTGTTTGTGCGGGCTCGTGCATGTTATTGTGTTTGTGTATAGGGTCTGGTACATCCGAGCCTACTTTAATTAAATGGCTCATCTAGGTAAAGGGCATGCCATTTCTCCTGTACCGCTCACACTGTCACCGAACAACACATGTTCATGTTGAAATCATCAAACCCCTGTCTTGAGGTAAAGCCAAGCAGGACAAAATCAATCAACGATATATTGAGTTTGAAGGGTCATATCAAATGACTGTATTTCTTTGATATCAAGTTCGGTACAGGCAGACAGTGGCCAGTTGAAAGCTCATTGGCATCGAAAAACCTGCACGGATGCACATACGCACACACAACTCTCTGGTTAAATGACTGCATTTGATTTGGCAGTAGCTCCCTCACAGCTAAAGTCACACGTCAGATGTGTTCTCTCCAGACAGCATTGGTGTGATGACACTCTTAAAGATGAAGCACAGAGCCAGAGGTTTCATCCCATGGCTAGAGTTTCCATAGCATATACCAGTAATGTCCTTTCAAATCCATGAAGGGAAGAATAATAATAATAATAATACATGGTATTTATATAACGCTTTTCATGAACCCAAAGTCGCTTAGAAGCGAACAAGTGCACACTTCAGGAGAAAGGAGAGATTATTGGGATGCTCACAGATAGAGAGAAGAGGAGGGAGCTTTAAACCTTTTTTACACCGCATACCTGAGTTCATTTACTAAAGACAGAATATAATAATCATTTTGTGGTGCTTATATTTGTCCTATTTTCACACACGCATGTGTGAATTGGAAATGTTTTTTGCAATCCCAACTCTCCCTGAGACACCCTCTGAGAGTGGGGTCACTGCCAGGGGCTGCCATTATCAACAGCGACCTTGGAACAATTAGGGTTAAGTGCCATGCTCAAGGGCACATCAACAGATTTTTCACCTTGTCGGCTTGGGGATTTTAACTAGTGTAATGTAATATAGAAATCGCCATTAGCTGGAGTCACCATTTAGTTTGGTGGAAATTATCCAACCAATTATGTAGGTTGGTGGAAATCCCCATCGACTGAGAATGAGGGGTCTCCATTATGTAGATACTGTCACGATCGTCGTATGGAGTAGACCAATGCGCAGCGTTAGTTGCGAACATACTTCTTTATTAAGTGAAAGCACGAACAAAACAAGAAAACGATAACGTGACAGTCAACGGTCAACGGTCAAACACAAACCAACTCGAACAAGATCCCACAAATACAAAGGGAAAACAGACAGTTTAAATATGGCTCCCAATCAGAGACAACCAGCCACAGCTGACACTCGTTGCCTCTGATTGGGAGTCACTCTAGCCAACATAGAAACAGCACAACTAGAACTCCCAACATAGAAATACACCACATAGAATGACGACACCCTGGCTCAACATATAGAGTCCCAGAGCCCGGGTGTGACAGTACCCCCCCTAAAGGCGCGGACTGCGACCGCGCCTCAACTTGAACAAAACAGGGGAGGGCTGGGTGGGCATTCCTCCTCGGCGGCGGTTCTGGCTCCGGGCTTGCCCACCACCCTCCAATAATCCCCCCATAGCGCCCCTGGTCCGATCTGGCCCCGCTGGCTGGAGCTGAACTGGACATAGTAGGAGCGGATAGCTTCAGCTCCGGTGTGGAGCAGCCGACCGGTACCTGATCAGGCACCGGTGACCCAGGCACGGGTTGTGCCGGACTGACAACGCGCACCCCTGGCTTGGTGCGTGGAGCAGGAACGGACCGGACCGGGCTGACGATACGCACCCCTGGCTTGGTGCGTAGAGCAGGAACGGTCCTTACCAGGCTGACGACTCGCACCCCTGGCTTGGTGCGTGGAGCAGCAACGGGCCGGACCGGGCTGACGACTCGCACCCCTGGCTTGGTGCGTGGAGGAGGAACGGGCCTTACCAGGCTGAAGACTCGCACCCCTGGCTTGGTGCGTGGAGCAGCAACGGGCCGGACCGGGCTGACGATGCGCACCCCTGGCTTGGTGCGTGGAGCCGGAACGGGCCTTACCGGGCTGACGACTCGCACCCCTGGCTTGGTGCGAGTAGCAGGAACGGGCTGGACCAGGCTGACGACTCGCACCCCTGGCTTGGTGCGAGTGGCAGGAACGGGCTGGACCGGGCTGACGATGCGCACCCCTGGCTTGGTGCGTGGAGCAGCAACGGGCCGGACCGGGCTGACGACTCGCACCCCTGGCTTGGTGCGTGGAGGAGGAACGGGCCTTACCAGGCTGAAGACTCGCACCCCTGGCTTGGTGCGTGGAGCAGCAACGGGCCGGACCGGGCTGACGATGCGCACCCCTGGCTTGGTGCGTGGAGCCGGAACGGGCCTTACCGGGCTGACGACTCGCACCCCTGGCTTGGTGCGAGTAGCAGGAACGGGCTGGACCAGGCTGACGACTCGCACCCCTGGCTTGGTGCGAGTGGCAGGAACGGGCTGGACCGGGCTGACGATGCGCACCCCTGGCTTGGTGCGTGGAGCCGGAACAGGCCGGGCCGGGCTGGCGACGCGCACCGTACACTTGGTGCGAGGGGCAGGAACAGGCCGGGCCGGGCTGGCGACGCGCACCGTACACTTGGTGCGAGGGGCAGGAACAGGCCGGGCTGGCGACGCACACCGTAGGCTTGGTGCGAGGGGCAGGAACAGGCCGGGCCGGGCTGGCGACGCACACCGTAGGCTTGGTGCGAGGGGCAGGAACAGGCCGGGCCGGGCTGGCGACGCGCACCGTACACTTGGTGCGAGGGGCAGGAACAGGCCGGGCCGTGCTGGCGACGCGCACCGTACACTTGGTGCGAGGGGCAGGAACAGGCCGGACCGTACTGGGGACACACACCACTGGCTCTACACCGGGATCTGGAACGGGCCGGACCGGACTGGTAACACACCCCAGTACCTCTCGCCGTGCCTCTACACCTTCCTTCCCTTCCTTGACCAGTGACCCCCGTAACCTGGTGGCCTTCTGAATTCGCCCCTTGTCTGCCTCCGTCAGCCCCGTCGTCCATGCCCTGTGCCCCCCCCCTAAAATTTTTTTGGGGTTGCCTCTCGTCCGTCCGACGACGACACTGATTACGCCGTTGCTCCTCTCTCCGTCGCGCCTCTACCGTCTCACTCCATGGCCGGCGATCCATCCCGGCCAGGATTTCCTCCCAGGTCCAGGACCCCTGCCCGTCCAAGATCTGCTCCCACGTCCAGGTTGCCTGCTCCTGGACACGCTGCTTGGTCCTGGTATGGTGGGATCTTCTGTCACGATCGTCGTATGGAGTAGACCAATGCGCAGCGTTAGTTGCGAACATACTTCTTTATTAAGTGAAAGCACGAACAAAACAAGAAAACGATAACGTGACAGTCAACGGTCAAACGCAAACCAACTCGAACAAGATCCCACAAATACAAAGGGAAAACAGACAGTTTAAATATGGCTCCCAATCAGAGACAACCAGCCACAGCTGACACTCGTTGCCTCTGATTGGGAGTCACTCTAGCCAACATAGAAACAGCACAACTAGAACTCCCAACATAGAAATACACCACATAGAATGACCACACCCTGGCTCAACATATAGAGTCCCAGAGCCCGGGTGTGACAGATACTGTATGTAAAAATTATGTTGAATAATAATAAACTACATTTATCAATCTGACTCCATTATTATGTGAATGCTATAGGCCCATAACCATATCCAGTGGGTATAGCTAAGGTTGCGAGCCTTGCATCACCACTCGGAATACTATAAGATACACGTGTCTATGTTTACAGTTATGCAATTACCGTATTAAGAGGCTGAGGAACAAGGAGCTAATATTTTGTAATCAATGTCCTAGCATTAAATGATTGAGTTAACCTCAGCTCAGAGATGCACAGTTAGAGACCAAGCATACTGTAAATGCTATGTGTATAGTGTAATTAACAACTATCAATAGACCTACTAAATTATAGGCATATAGTCAATCAAATAATTACTCTGTAAAACGAGGAATGCATTTACTCAATTCAACTAATGGAATGTATTACGAAATAATTGACACTCAAACAATTACAGTGCACATGAAATACATGATACATTACAAAATAACACAGCCTATTGGTGATAGTCATTTACTCTAAGACTTAATGTGGTTACATGACTTCAGTTCAGAATCATCTCTAAGACAAAAGACAACTCAATTTGAATGTTATGACCAGACAACAGGAATGTGCCTGATAACCAGTCAACCCAACATACAATTTCAATCCAGTCACTTTAAAAATACATCAACCAGAAAACATACAATGGAATAAGACATATCAAAATGTGTAGCTCTTTATTCAAGTCATCATTTCATCATCAGTCTTCACACTTCTCCTGGTGACAGTGACCCTAGGATTTCTGCAAGAACATCTCATCCTGGAGATTGCCATGTCAAAGGTGACTCTCTCCTGTGAGATGCAAATATACAGCCATCCATCCGGACAATGCCATATTGAATCAACACACCAGGCTTGCGTCAGCAAGTCACTAGTCGCGAGTGTATCACCTTCTCACGTTCTTCTACTACACTAGCAACATTTTGGTTTCTTACTGGCCCAACGCTCTAGCCACTAGGCTCCCTGCCACCCCAGACAAAGGAAAGCACCCAGACACAGAAAAAGAGGGAGAGGTTGAGTCACACTGAATTAATTCAATTGTTGATATTGTGTGTGTCTTCGACGAGGAGTGTGTTGCATGTCACAGGATTTGTCTGTGTGAGAGGAGAAAGAAAGTGAAATAAAAATGTGTCAACTGACGAGGGACAGAGAGGTTGAGTCACACTGAATCAATTCAATTGTTGATAGAGTGCACATTATTTGGTGTGTCTGTGTGTCTGTGCGTGTGTGTGTGTTGCTTAGACGAGGAGGGTGTTGCATGTCACAGGATTTGTCTGTGTGAAAAGGAAAGAAAGTGGCGAGTGAGTGTGTGTGAGTTGTTAACCCTCTCTTCTCCATTCTCCCTCTGTCTCCTCAGTCTCTGGACTTTGAGAGGAAGCGGTCCTACACTCTAAGGATCCAGGTTGAGAACTCCAACCCTGACCCTCGGTTCCTGCGCTATGCGGCGACCACGGACGGGGCGACGGTCAAACTGATCGTGGAGGATGTGGATGAGCCGCCCGTGTTCGACCGGGTCAGCTACATCATGGAGGTCAAAGAGGACGTGGCAGTAGGCACCATCATCGGATCAGTCAGCGCCACAGATCCAGACAGCAGCCGCAGTCCAGTCAGGTACTATGTACGCACACAAACACACACACACACACACACACACACTTATCTGCTGTTATTAATCAGCCAGGGGCCAGGCCCAGCCAACTGAATTATAGAGAATATTAGAAAGGCAATTAGCACCCCAACAGCAACAGATTTAACAAGCTTAGACTTACTGTCGGAAACGAGGGGGGCAAATAGTGTGTCTGTGTGTGTCTGTACGTGTGTGTGTGTGTGTCTGTGAGTGTGTAGGGGGCATTTAGATAGATAGATAGATAGATGATAATAGATAGATAGATAGATAGATTAGATGTTATGATAGATCTAGATAGATAGATCGATAGATACGATAGATAGATCTGATAGCTAGATAGATGATAATAGATAGATCTTAGCTGCTAGCTCGCTCGCTATAGCTCGACTGCTAGCTCGCTAGCTAGATCTCGCAGCTCGCTCGATCGCTCTATCGCTCGCCCGATCGCTCGATCGCTCGCTAGCTCTCTCGATCGTCCTCTGCCTGAACGGTTGGTTGTTCAGAAAAAATGACTAAAAATAGTGGTTGTGAAAGGAGAGAGTGGAAGAGGGTGGAGATGGGAGAGGAAGAGAGGAGGGATTGGGGTAGGGGTGCGGTGGTACATGGTACCTGAGCGACTGATCGCCCTGGTTCACATTTGTCTTCCCCCTGGGGGTATGCTTCCCTCCTCCGCTCCCCTTCCCTCTTCTCCCCATCAACATCTGCAACCAAATGACACCCTATGGGCCCTGGTCAAAAGTAGTGCACTATATAGGAAATAGGGTGCATTTGGGACATAGCCTACATCCGCTCCTCCATTAATCAAACTGATATATAACACTCGTTCTCAGGAAGTGGAGAAACACAACACAACTGGATTACCTGTGTGTGTGTGTCTGTTTGTGTGTATCTGTGTGTGTGTGGGTGCACATAAATGTTGTGTGTGTGTGTGCGTGCATGCACATTCATTTTGTATGTGTATGCGTACATGTGCATGCATTCGTGTGTGTGTGTGTGTGTGTGTGTGTGTGTGTGTCCAAACAGCCATTACACTTCACCATGATAGCATAGATACAATTTGTTGGAGTCGTTCTATTTTTTACCGAACGACCGGACCACAACTGTCAGTCATCCAAATTGCTTTCAAATTGGATGATAAATGTAGCAATAGGATGTATTGTTGTGATACTGCTGCACTGGTTTTGTGCAGACAAAGACAGGGTGCATAATATTCCTGTGAAAGTGAGGAAGCTTATTTTTGTTGTTTGTGTTTTGCAGGTACTCCTAATACACTGCCCCACAGCCAAAGACATGGTGAGAAAGAGAGGAAGCTTATACTTGTTTGCTATGTGCAGGTACTCTATTGACCGGCGTACAGACATGGACAGGGTGTTCAATGTGCACCCGGGCAACGGCTCAGTGTTCATGCTGAGGACTCTGGACAGAGAGGACAACGCCTGGCACAACATCTCTGTCATCGCCACTGAGTTCAGTAAGTACCATGTTGATCATCGATGTACGTGTGTGTTTGTGTGCGTGCGTGTGTGTGTGTGTGGTGAATTACTACAGTACTTTCTAGTTACATGTACAGTACTATGAGCAGTTGAGTTAGCATCATTGTATCAGCAAGACATCTCAAAATCAAATATGGACCTTGAAGCCAGTTCCACATGTTTTTATGTTTTATTCTTCCTCTGTAATCATGGACTGATTCAGACCTGGGATACCAGATCGGTGCAATTAGTTATCAGGTACTACAAAATACCAGCATTACTCCAGACCTCGTAGGGCAGTTCTTCCCAATTTATTTATTTTCCATTTGTTCATCTCCCCCTTCTGGGGTCGCGCCACTGTCGTAGTGTAGCAGGGGTATTCAGATCTTACACTATGCGGTCATGACTACTGCTGGTTTTCTGTTCTACCTGATACATTTTTGTACCCACTTGCTGTCGCAGGTCTAAATCAGTGGAACTGGCTTCAATGTCTAGATTTGAATTTGAGGGACCTACACCAAGGTGCTTTCCGAGACACAGAACAGTATCATAATCGTATCAAGGCAGTTATTGTATTTTACTTGGTGTTGTTATTAAATGTCATGTCCCTGTGTTCCACAGACAACCCACGGCTGATGAGCCGTGTACCAGTATATGTTAGAGTACTGGACGTTAATGACAACGCTCCTACGTTCGCCACTTACTACGAGACATTCGTCTGTGAAAATGCCAAGGCTAACCAGGTAAACAATGTACTATTATTTTAAACCACTACAGCAGGTCTTCTTTGCCACCTAAGGTCCCCAACTGATCTAACATTTATCAGTTTAGAACCTTCATCAGTTAACACATTTGTCTTGTTCCTCGAGATAAAATATGTTATCCGTGCTTGATCATATTTGTCATACCTTTTTAAGAGGATTCAGACAGTGAGTGCTACAGACGCTGACAAGCCTATTGGTGGACACAGGTTCTTCTTCAGTCTAGCACATGAGGCTTCTGTGAAAGCCAACTTTACCGTCAGAGACAATAAAGGTACATGCGCTTCCTCCTGTAGAACAACAGTTGACACACATTTAATTGTCAGTGTCTTTGATTTTGTGTATTCATAACATATGTATTCCACAGCAGTCATGATCACAATTAAGCACACTCTAATATAATATTGAAGGCCATACATTTGAGACAAGATAAATTGAAAGAAAACAAGCCTCTTAAAAAATTGGTGAACGTTCCCCCATCTAACTTGTATAGTAGCTAACTCTAACACTTTTCTCTCCAACAGACAACACGGCAGGTATCCTGACCAGACGGAACAGCTATAGCCGGCTACAGAGGAGTACCTACCTGGTTCCCGTGGTGATCTCGGACGGCGACTTCCCCATGCAGAGCAGCACCAACACCCTGACGGTGCGCGTTTGTACATGTGACCGCGAGGGGAACATGCAGCTGTGTAACCAGGAAGCTCTGGTCCTCACCACAGGGCTCAGCACTGGAGCCCTCATGGCCATCATTGTCTGTGTCCTCATACTGCTCAGTGAGTAATGTACAATTCAGTTCAATAAAAAAAAAATAGCTTTATTGTCCATATATTTTTTTACATGACAGAACATTTTCTTTGGCATGTGGCTTACATAGAGCACATTAAAAGCATCAATCACAACAACACACATAAATGATAAGTATCACATTCAGAGGACATTGACTTACGCCATGTCATATTCTGATCTCTGTTAGCCAAACCTATCCATGCTCTTTATTTATTTGTGTTCTTCACTGCAACTGCACTGTGCTAGATAGATGGTACAAATCCAGACCACACGTCCTATGTGGCAGCTCAAGCCTGTCTCAGCCCACCAAAGTACATCAGTGAGTGTATCATATATTCACACCACCAATGGTTCCCAACAGACAATAGCTATCCTTCAGAAAATAGAGGAACCCAGGAAGGAAAAATAACAAAAGTTACACTGCCTTTCTTTGTCTTGTTTCTGGAGTGATCATGATCGATGCATTCCACATTGTCGAAGCATACTCCTCTCCTTTCCTTTGCTCAGCTCTCCTTTCCTTTCCTCGCCTCTCCTATCCCATCTCATACTCAAGTTCTTCTCTCTCTTTCCCTCTCTCTTTGTGTCTATAGTGATCGTGGTGCTGTTCGCTGCCCTGAGGAGGCAGCAGAGGAAGAAGGAGCCTCTGATCATCTCCAAAGAGGATGTGAGAGACAACGTCGTCAGCTACAACGATGAAGGGGGCGGAGAGGAGGACACCCAGGCCTTTGATATCGGCACGCTGCGTAACCCAGAGGCCACAGAGGAGAGCAAACAGCGCAGGGACATTAAGCCCGAGACCCTGCACCCTCCCGTCCGTCGGACTGTGATCCTTCCCCCGGCCCACAGGGACAACGCGGACGTCAGGAACTTCATAAACCAAAGGCTTCAGGATAACGACCAGGACCCCACCGCGCCGCCCTACGACTCCCTGGCCACCTACGCCTACGAGGGGAGCGGCTCGGTTGCTGAGTCCCTCAGCTCCCTGGGCTCCATGACCACAGAAGTAGACCAGGACTATAACTACCTGAGCGAGTGGGGACCCAGGTTTAAGAAACTAGCTGACATGTATGGGGGAGAGGACAGTGATGGCTGCAGGGATTCCTAATGAGAGAGAGGGAGCTCGTAAGAGGGGAGCTAAAGGAAAACGTACAACAAACAAACAAACACTCGCACACTAGCTAAAGTGAACTTAACTCCTGGTACTTTGTGAAAGTGGCAAACAATAGAACAAAACAAAGAGGACACAAACAGACACGAGGCAGTATTTTTCAAAGTGCTATTTTACCGTCGTTGATCACCGTTGATGTTTGACCTCTTTGGAGGACTAGGAGTAAGAAGCTAGGTGCATCCTGTCAGTATTAGTGGACTTTATCTTTCTCTGCAAGGCAGCAGGGGACTCCTGAGAAAAATACTTGGTGTAAAGTACACCAGGCCCACATACACAGTATCTCTATATACAAACAAACTTCTTCTCTTTTCTTTTTCAAAAGCTGCCTGCGATGGAATAACAGCAAGCAGTTTTGTGCTGAACTTGATAGACAGACAACGCCTATTAATCTTTCAGTGTTTCTGGGACAAAAAAGCTGCATTTTGTGAGTTATATCGTAGCTTGTGTGTGTATCTGTAAATCGATACAATACAGTGTACAGTTATGTTTTATCAGGTTTTAGCGTCCCATCCACCCCCTTATAGCACTGACTGTGTATGTCACAATGTACTTTTGAGGTCAGACAAAGCCATAATGAGAGGCTGAGGGGTTGGACCATAGAAAATGGAATGCAATGGGTACACTCAAACCAGTACACCCACTATGGCATCATTGACTTGAATGGGGACAACCGCTCTACTCATTCTATTTCTATGGGTTGGACGTCACAAAACGCACCTTTCTGACTGTCAATACCTCCTTATAGCTTTGCATAATCTACGTCCCAAATGGCACACTATTTCATAGTGCACTACATTTGTACCAGGGTACATATGGCTCTTGTCAAAAGTAGTGCACTATATTGGGAATAGGGTGCCATTTGGGACAAACACATACAAAAGACTGAGCTGTATTATATGCTAATTATTTTTGATAATAGTAATACAATTGCTCAGAGAAAGATAAAACAATTTCTCAAAAAGATAGGGTTCAAAATTAATATAATTGTCACAATTTTTATCATACAATATAGCTCAGTATTCTTTGCTCATTTTGATCAAATAAAGGTTAAATACATTTTAAAAATCAAGGATGTCAATAATTTTGGTCATGACTGTATTTTCTGTGGGGGGAGCTGAAACACCTGGACCAAAAAGCTCCTCAGAGCCCTGACTGTATCTGAAGAACTAATGTCGATAACGCTTTACCTTTAAGGTGCCCTCTTTATAAAGTGTTACTCTGTCTGTCATAACATCCTTGTTGACCTGCTGGAGAGGTGGGTGGGAATCTCCGGCGTTGCCCTCGACTGGTTCAGGTCATATTTATGTGGCAGACGTTTCTCAGTGAGCATGGGTGGTTCCGTATCGTCCCCAGCATCTATACACTATGGGGTCCCTTAAGGGTCAAATCTGGGCCACATCCTTTTTTACCTGTACATGCTTCCCCTTGGTGACATCATCCGCAATCATAACATTCAGTTTCACTGCTATGCGGATGACACATAGCTTTATTTTCCAATCAGACCCAGTGATCAAGCAAGCGTAGCTACCTTTCACAAGTGTCTTGCCGACATCAAAAGTTGGATGTCTGAACATATTCTCCAGCTCAATGACACAGAATCAGAGGTTGTTTAATTTGGCCCCCACCTTGGTAGAACCCAGATTGTAAATAACCTTGGTCATTTGTCCACCAATGTAAAGCCTACGGCCAGTAACCTTGATGTCTTCTTTGACCTTGACCTGCATGTAAAGAAGGTAGTCCAGTCCTGCTTTTATCATCTAAGAAATATAGCTAAAGTCAAGTCTTATTTCAGTCACTGATCTGGAGAAAGTTATTCATGCTTTTATTTCCTCATGCCTAGATTACTTTAACTCTTTGAATGCATGTCTCAGTCAGAAATCACTCCATTGTCTACAGTTAGTTCTGCAGCTCGGCTTTTAACAGGCACCAGAAAATGTAACCATATCACACCTATTTTAGCTTTTCTACACTGGCTACCAGTCACTTCTAGAATATATTTTAAAATGGTATTAATCACATTTAAGGCTTGGTTTAGCCACATCCTATATCTCAGATCTTTTATCTCCCTACGAGCAAGAACACAGCCTGAGATCTTCTGGCAGGGAATTGCTGACTATTCCAAAGTCTAGGTTGAAAACGAAAGGAGACCAGGTATTTGCCATTAGGGTCCCTAGACTTTGGAATAGTCTGCCAGAGGATATCAGGCTTGCCGATTCAGTGCCTCTTTTTAAATCCCTGCTGAAGACACACTTTTATAAAGATACTTTTAATGTATGATTTCAATGTATGAGTTTCATTAGCTACAGTTGAAGTCGGAAGTTTACATACACCTTAGCCAAATACATTTAAACTCAGTTTTTCACAATTCCTGACATTTAATCCTAGTAAAAATTCCCTGTTTTAGGTCAGTTAGGATCACCACTTTATTTTAAGAATGTGAAATGTCAGAATAATAGTAGAGAGAATGATTTATTTCAGCTTTTATTTCTTTCATCACATTCCCAGTGGGTCAGAAGTTTACATACACTCAATTAGTATTTGGTAGCATTGCCTTTAAATTGTTTAACTTGGGTCAAACGTTTCGGGTAGTCTTCCACAAGCTTCCCACAATAAGTTGGGTGAATTTTGGCCCATTCCTCCTGACAGAGCTGGTGTAACTGAGTCAGGTTTGTAGGCCTCCTTGCTTGCATACACTTTTTCAGTTCTGCCCACACATTTTCTATAGGATTGAGGTCAGGGCTTTGTGATGGCCACTCCAATACCTTGACTTTGTTGTCCTTAAGCCATTTTGCCACAACTCTGGAAGTATGCTTGGGGTCATTGTCCATTTGGAAGACCCATTTGCAACCAAACTTTAACTTCCTGACTGATGTCTTGAGATGTTGCTTCAATATATCAACATAATCTTCCTCCCTCATGATGTCATTTATTTTGTGAAGTGCACCAGTCCATCCTGCAGCAAAGCACCCCCACAGCATGATGCTGCCACCCCAGAGCTTCACGGTTGGGATGGTGTTTTTCGCCTTGCAAGCATCCCCCTTTTTCCTCCAAACATAACGATGGTCATTATGGCCAAACAGTTCTATTTTTGTTTCATCAGACCAGAGGACATTTCTCCAAAAAGTACGATCTTTGTCCCCATGTGCAGTTGCAAACCGTAGTCTGGCTTTTTTATGGCGGTTTTGGAGCAGTGGCTTCTTCCTTGCTGAGTGGCCTTTCAGGTTATGTCAATATAGGACTCGTTTTACTGTGGATATAGATACTTTTGTACCGGTTTCCTCCAGCATCTTCACAAGGTCCTTTGCTGTTGTTCTGGGATTGATTTGCACTTTTTGCACCAAAGTACGTTCATCTCTAGAAGACAGAACGCGTCTCCTTCCTGAGCGGTATGACGGCTGCGTGGTCCCATGGTGTTTATACTTGCATACTATTGTTTGTACAGATGAACGTGGTACCTTCAGGCGTTTGGAAATTGCTCCCAAGGATGAACCAGACTTGTGGAGGTCTACAATGTTTTTTCTGAGGTCTTGGCTGCTTTCTTTTGATTTTCCCATGATGTCAAGCAAAGTGGCATTGAGTTTGAAGGGAGGCCTTGAAATACATCCACAGGTACACCTCCAATTGACTCAAATGATGTCAATTAGCCTATCAGAAGCTTCTAAAGCCATGACATAATTTTCTGGAATTTTCCAAGCTGTTTAAAGGCACAGTCAACTTAGTGTATGTAAACTTCTGACCAACTGGAATTGTGATACGGTGAATTATAAGTTAAATAATCTGTCTGTAAATAATTGTTGGAAAAATTACTTGTGTCATGCACAAAGTAGATGTCCTAACCGACTTGCCAAAACTATAAATAGTTTGTTAACAAGAAATTTGTGGAGTGGTTGAAAAACAAGGTTTAATGACTCCAACCTAAGTGTATGTAAACTTCCGACTTCAACTGTATATTTTGTCATTCTCCTTCCTCCTGTCTTTGGTTCTTTGTTAGTACTTCTATTTTATTTTATTATTTGATGATGTGAAGCACTTTTTTACTTATATTAAAAAGCGCTATACATATAGTTATTGTTATTATTATAATAATTATTGCATATTGGAAGACTGTCTGTCTATAGACATGAGAGCATAGAGGGTTACAGTAGCAGTGTGTTGCTTTGTATAAACTAAACATGCAGTTCCCATTAAACATTCATTCCTTACTTAGTGTTTTACTCTGTATGCTTTTCTGTATTTTAAAAGAGTTTCCTTTTAATTCAAATGTAGTAATTGATTGATGGTTGACTATATATTTGTGATGTGCACACTGACAAAAAGGGCATTCTCAGGCCTGACACATTGGGACTATGTGGGGAAAAAGGCTGCCTATTAAGGGGAATATGACATTTCTGTTGTGAGGAAGAGGGTCGACATTCCCTTGGGATTGTCCTTGACATGAGAGGTAAAGGTCAATACAATATAATGATCATGAAATGGGTTGACATATACGTAGTAAGAAAATATAGCAATTCAAATTAAGCAAAGCAACCCCAAATTGTCCAAGGCCAAAACTGACAAATTGAACACTAGTAGCATTGTGAAATATTGCCTCCAAGCTTTATTTTTCTACGATTTATGAACTAACAGCTCTGATATCGTTTGGCTGATAAGAGGAGGAATATATGAGGGATCACTCAGAGGGCAGTGGCATATCGAGAAAAAAAGAGAGATGCGTCCTAAAAGGCCCTTTATTCCCTATAGTGCACTACTTTTGCCCAGGGCCCTGGTCAAAAGTCATGTACTTTATAGGGAATAGGCTGCCATTTGGGATTCAGCCTAGCTAAAACAAGCAGTGGCCTCTCTCTACTAAAGGGCACCCTGAGGACGGGTTACATTTATCAGACATTTCAAACACAACTGACGTAACTGGCACAATGACAATGATATTTTTCTCTCTG